TTATATATATATATATATATATATAGACCTTCTATGCATAGATACACTGTGAAAATATGCATGGTCAAAACTGCCAGGATATAGTAAAATGTACTGGGTCCGAATTCCAGACAAGTCATGGATGTTCTTGCATTCTTTGTGCTATCTGTTCTTACTGTGGGAGCATTGTTAGCCCACCTAATATGGTGCCCTGAAAGAGTGGGTAACCCTGGGATGCTTTCATGGTTTACCTCCTTATGTAACGTAAATGCGGATTAGTTATATGCGGATTAGTTCACCACGAAGGCTAGTTTGTTTGAATGATTGATCCAGGAGTTCCTTTGTCTTCTGGTCTAGGTTCAAGATCAGAAGGTGTTGGAATTGAACATTGATAGTCGTTAGCTAAGAATCGGATCAGCTGTTTAATGCCTGTTACAAAAAAAAAGAAAAAAAAGACCCTCATTAGAAACTTAGATCTTATAACTTTCTGTCATTATTTTATTTTTCTTCCTCATTACTTGAAAAGGGGCAACTGGTTCATGGTTCTATGCTATAGACCAACCAATCTGTCAAATTTGCAACACAATTTTCTATTGTACTTTTCAAGTCCACTGATGTAGACGCTTTAACGCTTCTATTAAAGGGAAAGTGCATGGTGTTTTAAATTGACTAACCTTATTATGTCGAAACAAATGATACATATAAGGTCTGAGGAGGGAGTTTACAAAAACAAATAAAAATAATTAAAAAAACAAATAAAGAAAATTATAGCTATGATGCCGAAGCTCAGAGATATGAAATGGCACATGGTGACTCAGGGAGTTCTTTTTAACAATCTGTGTTTGAATGTAATAACATAAGTGTGTTATTATGAATAAGTAAATAATATAAAGACGCATGAGGAATGTTTCCATTATAAGAAACTGTAATACATATATCTGCATTTGAAATTCGATCAATTGACAAAAAATTTTATGTTTAACATATTTGTGATAATATGAATAAAATTTTATTGGTCTTACACAATGCAATTTGTTTATATTAGTTAGACACTAATATTTTTAAATGGTCTTTTTTTAGATACATCAATAAATAAAGTTACTAACTTGACTCTTTCACCAGCTTTAAATTATCAATCAATAGAATAACATTACAAATCCATTAGATTTATGGAGATTCCATTAACTTTAAGTGCCTTGTCAATATTGTATCCATTTTGGGTTGTAAATATTTATTTATGTTGATCAAATATTTCAAGACCTTCTACAAGTAGTGTATGAAATGAAATGTCTTCGTTTATTCCAAAGAATAAACAAAATCTGGAATTCTTTTTTTTGAAAGTATACTTTTGATGTAGTCAACATAATAAACATTTTGAACACATATAAATACTTTTAAGAATTGTTTATGAAATAGCTAGTGCTAAATATTTAAATTACAGTATTTGTTGTTAACAATATATGTTATCTAGTACCCTGTTTTGGTGGTTTTTAATCATTCAGCTTAAATTATTAAGTTTGAATTACGCATCTGGACGTAATAATTGGACTCTTCCGCCTCGAGAAGAAGCGAAGTGTTTTGCATACCTGTAGTGACAGTCACGTGTGTATGTTATAATTGATTAGCTTCTGAATTAACAAATGACACAGATCCCCTACGATGATGTTATTCGTAGGTGACCAATCAAGAGAAAATAATTTAATATATTCCATCGTCATAACAACCATTCATCTTCTTTTGAAGGTATTTTATAAAAGATTAAGATTTTTCATGCGTTTGTTTGTTGTTGTAAAATTTACATACATTTCAAAAGCATATTAATCGTGGTTTATTTGCCCTAAAAAGCGTTAAAGGGAATTGGTTCTGAATGATTTTAGATGTAGTTAGTGATAAAACGAAGAAATGAATCAGATCAATGAATTTGAGAATTAGTGAATAAGTAAACTATTGAAGAAGCTAATTAGTGTATTATTGAATCCACATATAAGTGTAAAACAAAGGTGTAAATGGGGGATTAATTTATAAATAAATCAAGGATTAATTTATAAACAAGGCTTTTTTTTCTAGACATTGTGATTTATGACAAATGTTCTTTTGGCAAAGTATAATATGATAATTAGGCGTAAATCACCGAAAACTAAATAGAACATTATTGTTTCTTCGTTTTTTTGAACAAAAATATCTGTAACTAAGACGATGACCAAAGAAAAGTAGCATTTCCGCTATTCAATAAATCATTTTAAACTGAAATTTTATATTTTGATGGTTTAGTACTTTGTAATTAATAATATTTGAATAGGAGCAACATCATTGTAGGTGATATCGGGCAATGGAATTTAAAGTTTTCTAAGGGATCCGTCTTTAGAATACCGGGCACGTGAATACAGAGGTATGGTCCTTTGTATTAAAAAAACCCCAGATAGTACAAAATATAAACATATGGTGTGATAGATCTTCATTTAATAAAATCATCAGTGTAAAGAATGGTAGTAATGGCTCAGACATCCCTGAGAGCTAATTATTTTGAAAAATCTAGTTATTATTAATGCATGTAATACGTTGCGATTGTTAAATATCTATCTATCTTGGTGACATAGTTCATATGTACACTGTAGTGTTAAGGAATGTTTAGAAAACGTATCGTCCTACATTTTTTTCAAAGTATAATTATTGTTTTGTTGTTGAGAGTCTTGCAAGTAACGTATATCCAACGGGAAGGGCAATAAATAATATAAAATTGATAAATAATAATAACTTAATGGATAATAAGGAATTGGTAAGTAACTGAAATTTAATTCTATTAATTGTGTTAATATATGCTTTCTAGTTTTGTGCATGGTTTTGTAGTGTTGTTCAGTACTGTTTTAATTATTTATTTTATTTTATTATTCAACTTGCATGAAGAATGGATATTCAGCTAGGGAATAAAAAAAGGGTAGCCCTAAATTATTATGTTACTTGCGTAAAATAATAAGCATGGTTAAAACAAAAATGTAAAAGAGTTTGTTTAGATATATAAACTGTCCGCTTTCAACCTATCATTTCTGCCCAACTTATGGCTCAATTAATTTCCTCTTTCCACAGCCCACGACAGATATTTCAAAATGGAAATAGGTGACACTCAAATTTGAACTTGCTTAATGTCATCTCACTCGTCAGATATTTCAGTTCTTTATTGCCAACGTGTAAAAAGAAGTTTTACTGGTCTTTTGATAATATGCGTATTAGTGTTTCATATAATACGACAGATGCCGAAAGATTATATTCAACGAATAAGAAAAAAAAATTCATCCCATTGACTATATCCTATTTCGCCCAAAGAGACCAGGCACTATTTACTTTGCCTAGACTTTCAATAGAATGTTTGCATATTATAATTTGTCTGTAATAAATTTATTTCTCGAACGCAATATTTTCTATAGAATACTTCATCAGCCATTTTTGTGCATCCATTAACTTGAGTGCATTCTCAATATGAATTCCATTATTGACAGCGCATCCTATACATTTATCTCGATCAAATATTTCTATTATGTGTACTTACCGATATCTGCAAGAGTGGAATTTCTTCTTTTTTCCCAGGAAACTTGAACCATTTTTCGCAATGCCTCTTGTGCACCACCATTCAATTGAAGAGACTGTTTCCTACCCTACAAGAGACGAATAATCCTGTCAAAACTGAGTTAAAATTAACTTGTTCGCAATGCTCACTAATGGGAAATCAATGTGACCTGCTGTGTCAGTTGTTCTCCAAATGGATCTGGTGGTATCAATTAATTTAGTGGAAAAAGTTTTTTTCTTTCACTAAAAGCAGCTGAACAATAATACTTATCTTGCATATTTGTAGTTCTGGTAGCTAAAAATAGCCAGATCGCATTAACTTCGGTTTAATTATAATTGATTAAAGGATTATTTGTATTTCGTGAATACAATTCAGGGGTTTAAATGTTATTTAATCTAGTTAATGATTTTAGTTTAAAAGTTTACAAAACTTACTACGAAGCAATTTATTAGGCATTGCGGTGAAACAGATAAGATAGAAATAAGAAAAAAAAATATGTAATAAGGGGTAATAAGTGTAATAACAAAAATAAGCATTAACTGAGTATTAATAATTATCATTATTAATGTTTTATTATATTTATTTTTTATTACATTATTTAGACAATGGTGTAACATTGGTTAGATGATAGAAACGAGAAAAGTGATGATTTAATAAGGGAGAACAGTGTTATATTGAAAAGCGCTATGAGTATTAATAATTATAAGCATTAATAATTATAAGCATTATTTTATGACATAATTAATTAGGAATTATTGTAACATAAATTATGGGATGGAAGCGAGAAAAATAATTATGCAATAAAGGAAAACAGTGCAATAATAAAAAAGCGTTATGTGTTTATTAATACTTATAAGTGTTAATTTATTACGTAATTAATTAATCAATGATGCAGCATTGGTTATGGAATATGAACGAGAAAGATATTGATGTAATACAAGATATCAGTGTGATAATAAAAAAAGTTTTATTTGAGTATTAATAAACAAATGAGTATTAATTTTTGTATATAATTGATTAGGAAATGTTGTAAAATAAATTACGGGATAGAGGAGAAAGAATGAAGTAATAAAAGAGATCAGTGTAATAATAAAGCAAGCCTTATATGAATATTAATAATTAAATGAGTATCGATTTTTATATAATTAATTCGGTAATAATATAAAATAAGTTACGAAATAGAAACTGGAAATGATGCAATAAAAGATGCCATTGCATTAATAATAAAAAAACGTTATATGAGTATTAATAAATATAAGCACTGATTCATTATGGAATTAATTAGGCAATTGTATAGCATATAGGTTCTGAGATAGAATTGGGAAAAATAATGTTGATGTAGTAAAGGGAAACAGTGTAATAACAAAAAAGTGTTATATGGGAATTAATAATTATAATTAATACGCTTGGTTACTGCATTTAACTGTTTACCCATTATTAGCTCTCACGACGAAATAAACATAATTCCAGTCAGTATTAATAATTATTAATGCATTCTACCTTTGTATAAATTAACTGATGATATTTATTAAATGATTATTGAAATATTGGTTTCTTATAAGTTTGAATTAAGGGTACACATATATTTTTAATGCGAACTTAATTAAAAGTATAGTACAGAAGATCTCAGAAGCATGCCATAATTTCAATATGGCTTTAGAATTCAAAAGTGATAAATAATGGTGAGTTTTCGCTTTTTTTAAAATGTTTGCTACGAATGTATGCAAACGAGAAAAAATTAAAATTGGAAATCAAGTGTTTATTGCAATATTGAAAATTTTATGACTTTTATGACTTTTATCATCAAAGATAAGAGAAAAAAAAAATAGTATAAATTCTTTTTACAGTTTCCATGACATTAGAGTTTTCCTCATAGATACAGCATCAGATGCAGTATTTGAATTTTTTCAATACTAATTTTAAAAAAAGATTTGAAATTATAACTCAAATTTCTTTTTTTTTTTACAAAGAATTTTTCATATTGTAGTGAAACAAAATCCATTCCTTTTTCTGGAATGCATTTCCTTCATTTGATATTCCCTTTGTTGTCAGTTCCCAGAATTCTTTAATAAGGAAAATTTTAATTTATTTATGAGAATAGTTTTGATTTCGAAATCGGCAGTTTTCATTTGACTTAAGTTTCAGATTATATTACGCCTTTGAAGTTTCCTGAAACATTTTATTAATAAAAATACTTGAAAACATACATTTCGATTATTTATTCCTTACATTCTAAGATTTAAATAACTAATTACATGCATAATGAATAATTACAAATGCACAATAATAGCTAACAAAGCAAGTGTCAAATATAAGTAAACAAACATAATATAAAAACAAAGCAAAGCTTTGAATCAAATTCGAGTGAAACTTTCGAGTTTTTAACCTTCCTCCTGCGTATTTTTTTCAAATCAAAAAAGGAGTATATTTGTTAGATATTTCAAATCTATATGCATTTTAAAGTTAAAATATTAAAAAAAATTCTAAAAATAAAAGATTTTTGCTTTAATATAGTATTAGTTCGTAATAAAAGGTTGTCAGGACAGTGAAATTAATGAATATTGATATAAAAGCAAGATTTTGGAAATTAATCTGGGTTAAATTATGATTTGTTTTATTACATATAAAGGTAAGGAGAATATGCAAAATACTTATAAAAAATTTATTAAAAATGAATTCCAGTATGATAAACAAAGATCCTCGTAATCTTTTCAATTGTTTTAATCAGTTTTTTTATATTTTTATTTTTTAAATCAGCAAACAGCACACTTCTAAAATAGAGCCCAAAATGTTTCAAAGCATGCTTGTATATTTTACTGAAATAGAAACAACTCACACCATCTGATATCCCAGATCTAAAAAACAATTAAACATCACAGAAATGATGAAATGAATCCGCGAAAGGGAAATGAGCGGGTTGCACAGTTATATAGGTGGAAAAAATGCATCTCCGCGAAAATCTCTGGTTGTGCCAATTTTTCAACTTCTACGTTGTCTGTGGAAATCACGGGACACGCAGAAAGAAGTTTAAACATGTAACCATTGTATATTCAATAGTCAATATATAGTCAATTTTAGTTTATAATTATAATACCACTTGTGCAGATGACTTGGTTGTTGTTCTTAAGGCTTTTTGTTGTGCTTCAGTGTAAGTGAGTCGTAGCTCTTCTGGTGTTTTTCCCAAGGTTACCATTTTATCCCATGCATCTCTTTTAGTCTAGAAAATAACAGTCTTTTAGTCTACACAATTTACACAGGTGTATCTGAAAGTATATTTTCTTTTTAAAACAAAATATATTTTGTCAATTTAAAATTTTTAACATTTGGTGCACAAATCGGTTATAATAACACATTGGTGCGTATTGGTACTTTAGAACATATTGGTACTGCGGAACATATTGGTACTTATTGGTAGGTGACAGCTTTTTTGAGCTGTCTCCAACAAGAACATTGGTCCCAGTAACCGATAACTACGTATTTCAATATCGTGATGTCATTTCAAAAATTATCAATTTTCAACCACACTCAGCGATATTTTTCCAATTCTAATTCATATTATCGTATTATTGTATTGAATGTTACCGGTGGCCTTTGTAAATCAGAATCTGGGCATGTTTCTACGTATTGTTCAATTTTGCTTAATTGTCCCTGTTACGATTAATACGAAAATATGTTTCACTTTTAATTTCACTTAATCTCTTTTATCAAATAACAGATATAATTAAACTGATGTTATGCAAACGAAATGATAAAAATTAAAAAAAAAAAGATGCTACGATGTAAAACATGAGATGAAAAAAATGAAGTATAAGAATTATGGTTAGGTGAGTTAACATAGCTTCTACTTTTGTCAATAGATGGTTTTGTTTATTGCATCTCAGACAAACAAACAAGTTTTATTCAGTACGATTAAGAGTTGTTTAAATAAGTTTTAAGATTTCAATTTTTTTTAATTAATAGGGGGATTTAACTAATTGCAAAAAGTTGCAACAAATGATTTTCAGCAACAAAATTTTGTTGTAATAACTGTAAATATCTATTGGCTTTGCAATTAAAAGTAATATTACATACGCACTTACATTATAACATATATACGATGAGTAAAAATATAAACAAAACACTCTGAATAACTTTTGATCCTAAGATCAGATTTTGATATCAGATTTGGAATCAATCTTAATGGTTCATAGGAGTGACCTCAAGTATGTTAATTAACTAGTGCAGACGGTATTTCAAGTAACGAAATTAAATACAGAAACGTACTTTCTCTGAATAAACATACTTTTTTTTAGATGACTTTTGATTTCTTAGCCTCAAAATATGGAGGATAGCCGTAAACCGAAAAATATGGTCTCAATAGTTCGTTCAGGAGAGCAGTGCAAAATTTAGACCCCTTAATGTTAATTTTATTTTGCGTATTACACTATGTTTAGAAATTTTTTTAAGTGAACTGAAAACTTTTGCATGCAATCATAAAATTCGTTTATCTGCAGATAATGCCATAAAAAATTACTGCTTCAAATTTTATTTATTACTTTTATTATCTTATTAACTAATCAAAAAATTGGAATTTTAATGTTGGCAATTTTTTATATCATTTAAAAAAAATGCATTTTTACCTGGCAAAACTTTAAATTTGAGGGATCAAACTATTGAAACCATATTTCCCTGATTGTTGTTAACTCTGTATGTTGAGGGTAAGAAATCCTATTCTACCGAAAAAAGACAAGTTTATTCAGAGAGAGAGCGTTTTGTGCCTCATTTCGTAACTTAAAATATCATCAGCCTCAAATAAATTAGTATAATTTAGCTCACCTCTGTAAGCCATTAAATTTGAGTTCTAGCACGTAAAAATGAATCCGATCATTAGATCAAAAGTTATTCAGTGTGTTTCATTTAATTTTTTAAGCACAACATTAACACAAAATATGGATTCCAACAATTGCCGACTTTGGGAAATATCAATGAAAAAAGATTTTAAGCTGAAGGAAATGAATTATTTTTTGGGGAAACAACAAAACTTTTCGCCAAGTACCAAAATCTGTCATAAATATCATTAACAGATGACACTGATGACTGATAAAAAACTATAAAATAATGTTTCCTGCTGCTCGTCAGACTATTCTATTATAAATATTAGCAACAGTGTGTTAACAACTAACTACATATACACTGTTTCGAAAAATGTTATAGTCATTTTGAAAACATTGTTTTTTAATATTCCTTAGTTAGTAGCGCCATCTGCGAACAAACTTCGTTTCTAATCTTGAGAATTAGCGAAAAGAGTTTGTTTAGTTTCCGAAAAAGAATATGCAAGCTATATAATCTTCTTCCGCTTCGTCTGTTCATTTTGGTATACTGTTGTCTGTAGGAAAATATTCTAATTATTTTCAGCAGACGGAAAAAGAAAATTTCCTAACTTTGACTCACACTCTTCATTTTGGAAAGTTCAAAACATCACTACCAGACAAAGAGAAGTACTCTCAAGTATAACTCGCTAGTCAGAAATGATTATTATTTATCTACAATATATAACAGATCATGACTCTCGCGAAACAATTATGTTAATAGCAGTCTACTAATGCTTATGTCGAATGCACAAAGTATTCACTACTACAATGAGAAAAAGAACCAGACAAAATTACCGCACTCTTTAATAATGACTTTATGGTAAAAAAAAAAAAAAAAAACATTGTTTTGTTACGAAATGCACGCGGTATTTAAACGGAATTTGAAAATTTTTTTCAGTTCGTATGGCAAAAGTTCACCAGAAATTCCGATTTTAAAAATTATAGTTCTCAGTCTTTCTTAGAGGGTCAGCAATTTACCATAGTAAAAATCCATTATAATGGAAACGTATTAACTTGCATAATTCAACTTATTTGTTTTCAACCCTGTATTTTCGTTTAATTTCCTGAAAGAAAGGGAAAAAAAAAGAACTCAGTATCATTCAAATTAATTCGAATTCATTGATTTTAGCTACACTTCCAACCAGTGCCAATTTTAATTACTAATGATACTTTGAATAACGCATTACTATCATTCACTTTTTAAAAAAAAATCCAATCTGAAATTTAAAAATTTTGCATTTATGCAACGGTTGCATTCATAACAAATTTCGATTTTCTTTCTTAATTATAAAAATTTAATATGCAATTTTTAATTTAAATAATTCATAGTTAAATAATGAATAACAAAATTTAATTAAAAACTGTAGTACGCGAAGCAATTGCAAATAATTGTTTTCTCTGAGCATAATTTTCAAGTTAATACGCTATGCTTCAACAACACATCATTTACTTCGTAAATTTTACTAAGCTTTATCTAAAGTATAACTATAGTGATCAACAACACAATGAACATAAATCCATGTTTCGGATAACAAACGAAAACGGTAGTACTATATCCTTTTATTCAATAATAATCTCAATATGCTTTTTTACAATTTTTAACTTCTTTAAAAAGGTATTACAACCTAATGAATACCAGTTTCTTCAGAAAATCCTCTTTTTTTCTCCAAAATTGAAAGCCAGTTATCGAGTTGAAAAGGATCTTTGTAAAGTAGGAAAACTTTTTTAGAAAGTACCGCCCAAAGGTTAAACTACACACGAGGAGTCGGAGAGATTAAATATATCTTTGCATTTCAAAGTGTATGACAATACCATTACTTTTTGGGGAAAATGTTAGGGAAAAAAACGAGACAGCCAGGAAGTGGAGTTTAATGATAACTTTGAAAATCCCAGTCAGAGATTTCAGCCAATATCTCCCGTCTTTATGTCTGGAGCTGGATTTTCTTTGAAGAAAAAAGTTTGCATGAGAGAGTATTTTTCTATATTTAGGGAGGGAAACTTTTTCAATTTGAGTATTTTGGAAAAATGTGTGAATATATGTGAAAATATGACGGTTTAATATTTTATTCGGAATAAACTTTCTCACTGAAATTATAATTATTTCTATTGTCAGCTATTTCTATTTTATTTCGAGATTTCTGTATTTCATAACAAAAAGATTAATTTTGATAAATTGAGTTATGAAGTTATTTAAATTCTGAAAGTAGTTGACAATAATAATTAAGTATAAATATAATAGTTAAGTATAAATATAATAGCGAGGTACAAATATAATAGTTTTATATAACTATAATAGTTTTATAGAAGGTTAATAGTTTTATACAAATGACGCCCGGTGGCTGGGCGGTAGCGCTTCGCGCTGTCGTGCCACAGGTCCCTGGTTCGATCCTCGGGCCNTGTACTATCACTTCCTAAAATTTTGCCCATCTTTTTAGAATCACCCTGTATAAATATAATAGTTTTATAGAAAGTTAATGACTTTATAAAAATATAAAAGTTTTATAGAAATATAATAGTTTTATGGAAATATAATAATTTGGATGTAAATAAAATAAATTTATAAACTATAATAATTTTACTTTATAAAAGTTAAGTTTATAACTATTTTTATACACTCTATAAGTGGAAGTAAAACAATTTTAATTTTGCTTTACTGCTGCAATCTCAGAATCTCTATGTTCTGAGAAATTTCCATAAAATTCATAAAGTTGTTCATTAAGGGCACTATATGCTCAGAATGAGAAAAATCCTTTAAAAATCCATTCTTTGGATTTTTTGAACTATTAAAAAAATTTCAATTTAATAAGTAATAGGCAGGAAACCGTGTTATACTTTCCGAATAATAAGATTATGAATTTGTAAGGGTCCATACATCAATATGTAGCTCTCGTTGACAAAGTTACGTTAATTCGTAATAGAATTTTGCAATGTTTTTACAACTTCAAAATATTTCTTGCTCACCAGTTCTTGCTTTATTTTTATTAAAAAAAATTCAGATATTATTCGATCTGTCTTGTTTAATTCTAAATGCATTTGATTAACTCAATATCTTATCTTATTTTTTTAATAATTGAACAAACATAATTGAAGCTTGTTTTTTGAAGAAATATTTGGTGACAAAATGAAAATTTAATGTCTAGTTACGTTATATTTTATATGGTTACCATAACCACATAAATTTAGTTAAATCCTTATAAACAACGTATTTGGGTTAAAATTTAATTAAAAAAATTAAAATTCATTTTCAGAGAACTTTTTAATTGAAAACAATTAAAAACCATACTTTTAGCTATAACTTTAAAACTAGTTATTATTTTCGTCTAATACTTTGCACACGTACTTCTATTAACGTTACAAATATTCTGTTAAAATTTGAAAATGATCGAATAAAAATTGCACTTTCCTGTTGTGCCCCCTTAA